CCCGGCCCGGCCCCCGTGCGCTGCGGGCCCGGTTCTGGGCAGCGCTGTGCTCACGGCAGCCCGGAGCCCCCGGGCACTTCCCGCCGCCTGGTCCCGGGAACCCAGAGGGGTTTGACAAAGGGGGAAATTCTTGTCCCTTTGCTTTCAACCCAAACACGCCGCTCAATGGAAACGGGGGCGGGTAACGGCCATTAGCGCCTGGTCAAATCTAAACCGAATCAGGAGCGGAGCGAGCCAAACCCTTTGCCCACCGATGGCTGTTTGGTGCCTTCTGTGACATGAGCTGGGAGACTCGGGACAGCGCCCCAAAAACTACCCCCCCCCTCCAGCTGGCTCGCCCGCTCCAGCTACATATTCCGGGCCCGGCCTTTTCAGGTTGGATTGGATTTTCCTGGGAATTTATCCGTGTTTAGAACCACCACAACAAAAACAGGTGATAATCAGTGCAAAAAATATAATTTTTCTGGCTAAATATCCGGGTTTATTTTTGTGGCCGGAAAGAGGGGGGGTGGGGAAGTATTCAGCAGATTAATGGTTTGAATTCCCTTCATCAATGTGGTTTGCTGCAGAACTAAAACAGAAACTAAAACAGGCCACCTCTGAGTTTAAGAAAACAATAGCTCTCTAATCCCCCAATAAAACTTTTCAGGTGAATGAACACTTTACTGTTGTAGACTGAGAACTATTAGCCTATAACTAGTTACCATTAATAATTGGGCCACACCATTTGCAGCGCATACACTCAACTTCATCCTTTTCTCCTGTTTTTTTTTTTTTTTTTTAACTTTCAATTACTGCCTTGGGTTCTGAAATGTATTCTGATGCAGATTTTTGTTTTCTTCCCATTTTAGTGTGTCAAATCTTTAAACCATTATCTGCTTACAGCTTTGAAATGTGTACGTGGTGGGTGTGAGATTCATCAGTATGTTCAGATGCACATGCACTTAAGTTTGCAAGCCTGCCTGTTGGTTTACTGTGTGTATCTCTAGACTAATACATAGCCTTCCTTCAACAGGCAGCTTTGCATATACAGACTAATGTATGATCATAATACATATATCTCATGCAATGTCTTGTGTTTTCCTAATAAAACAAGGTATTTTTATATATTCGAATGTTACAAAAGTAGGGTGAAATCAGAAAAAAAAATAATATTTTTTGTAGAACCCAGGATTTTTTTTGGTAAAAATCAGTTTAAACTGAAAATGAAGGGGCTTAAGTATTCATAAAGAACCCAAGGATCTCACAAAACTGGGTGACTGGGCAACAAAATGGCAGATGAAATGTTGATAAATGCAAAGTGATGCACACTGGAAAACATAATCCCAACTATACATATAAAATGATGGGGTCCTAAATTAGCTCTTACCACTCAAGAAAGAAAACGTGGCGTCAGTGTGGATAGTTCTCTGAAAACATCCACTCAATATGCAGCGGCAGTCAAAAAAGCAAACAGAATGTTGGGAATCATTAAGAAAGGGATAAATAAGAAGACAGAAAATATCATATTGCCTCTATATAAATCCATGGTACGCCCACATCTTGAATGTGGTTGCCCCATCTCAAAAAAGATATATTGGAATTGGAAAAGATTCAGAGAAGGGCAACAAAAATTATTCAGGGTATGGAACAGCTTCCATATGAGGAGAGATTACTAAGACTGGGACTTTTCAGCTTGGAAAAGAGGCGATTAAGGGGGGGTATGATAGAGGTCTATAAAATCATGAATGGCGTGGAAAAAATAAATAAGGAAATGTTATTTACTCCTTCTCATAACACAAGAACTAGGAGTCACCAAATGCTATTAATAGGCAGCAGGTTTAAAACAAATAAAAGGCGGTATTTCTTCATACAGCGCACAGTCAATCTGTGGAACTCCTTGCCAGAGGATGTTGTGAAGGCTACGACTATAACAAGGTTAAAAAAAGAACTAGATAAATTCATGGAGGATAGGTCCATCAATGGCTATTAGCCAGGATGGGTACGGATGGTGTCCCTAGCCTCTGTTTGCCAGAAGCTGGGAATGGATGACAGGGGATGGATCACTTGATGATTACCTGTTCTGTTCATTCCCTCTGGGGCACCTGGCATTGGCCACTGACGGAAGACAGGATACTGGACTAGGTGGACCTTGGTTTAACCCTGTATGGCTGTTTTTATGACACAGCCATAGGTGCTGGAACTAGAGGTACTGGGGGTGCTTTCGCACCCTTGGCTTGAAGGGGTTTCCAGTCTGGTTCAATGGCTCTCAGCATCCCCACTGTACAAATTGTTCCAGCACCTCTAGACACAGTCCTTAGGCACTAGCCTCAGCAGAGAGACCAGCACTGAACTCCCACTGCTGCTGCCTTTGCATGAACCTGCCTCATGCCAAGAGGACTTCATCAGAGTTGTCAGTGCATCCTCCTCCTCTGAGGCTAGGTCTACACTACCCGCCTGAATCGGCTGGTAGAAATCGACCTCTCGGGGATCGACGGGACGCGACAATCGATCCCCGAATCGACGCTCTTACTCCACCAGCGGAGGTGGGAGTAAGCGCCGTCGACAGGAAGCCGCAGAGGTCGATTTTGCCGCCGTCCTCACAGTGGGGTAAGTCGGCTGCAATACGTCGAATTCAGCTACGCTATTCACGTAGCTGAATTTGCGTATCTTAAATCGACTCCCCCCTGTAGTGTAGATGTAGCCTGAGACTGCTCACTTGATACAGCAGAAGGAAATGGATTCTTATCCCAAGTGTGTGCTACTCTGCCCTTAAATTGTAGTCAGGCTTCAGTGCAGAGACTGCAAGACTCTCTCCATGACAGCTGCTGTGTGGGTGTACATTTTGTCTGAGATTGAGAGAATTCCTAGCCACTAACTCTGATATCAGTTTCCTGCTAAACTGGTCTGGCTGTTTCTTCCAGAGTATTATTTTGGTGCTGAATAATCCTGCCACCTCACATACAGGCTAATTGCACAATAGTTCATGTCGTTATAGAGAAACCCATTGTTTTATTATATCATTCTGTTATACTGCAAAATTACAAACTTTGCTTCTGGGGGAATTCTGTGCCACTGTGCACATGCAGAATTCATGTCCCCCACAGATTTCTTTGTTTCCCCACGGAAAAATGACTTCTGATGGGGAAGCAAAGGGAAGCTGCAAGACTGGTCACGCGCCCCTCCCTGGCAGCACAGGCACCTTGGTTTGGGCAACTGGAGCTGCCGTGGAGGGGCTGGACGTGTGTGCGAGAGAGAGACTCTGTCTCTCTCACTATCTATTGTGGCCCACCCAGCGTGGAAGGGCAGGGCTTCGAGGTGTTTCTGCGGAGGTAGGCATGGGGCAGGCTCTGTCCCCTCAGGCAGAGCAGAACGTAGCAGCCTGCCTGCTTAGTGAATTTTCCCAGGAGTGTAAAACAGGTGTTAAAGTTGTGAGGCTCTTTACATTGTCAGAGTGCTGTAAAGGAAAGTATGGCTTATAAATGCTTATGGTGCTTCAGTGATTAGAACTGATCTAAATTTTTGGGCTGAAAAATTTTCCTATCACAATGTGCTCCATGAACTGTTTGCTACTGACCTTTCTGGAGGTGCTCAGTAGCCAATATAAATTGTGAGTTTGACTCCCCAGCCCTCACTTGCTCTTCAGTTGCCTATGATGTAACGTGAGCATACGGCTGCATATATGTGTTGACTATTAACTAGCTACATTACTATTAAAAGCGGGGTTGGGGATTTTCTCCAATGCTGCCCACTCCCATTCTCCATCTTTTGTATTGTAGTTTAAATAAATTACCAAAATAATTGAAACTGGTGTGATTATATTGCAGATTATATGCAGAATTTTAAAATATTGTGCGCAGAATTTTTTATTTTTGGTGAAGAATTTTTAATTTTTTGCGCAGAATTCCCCCAGGTGTAAAATTGAATTGTAACCTATTTAAGAGCAAGAGAGTTCTAATTCATTACAGAAGGCTGGTAGTCTTAAATAGGTTATCTTGCTCCCCATTTATTTCTCTTGCACTAATTTCTCTACCCAGTGTCTGTGGATACTGGTCAACTTTGTCATTTCATGTTAAGAAATACAAATGAAAGTCAAATACAAATGGTATAAGATTGGCAGTTTCAGTTTCTCCTGCAAATAGAGAGGTGCAAAGTCCTGCAGTCTAGGATCTACAGGGTCTTCACTGACAACCTGTATCTAACATGGTAACATAATGAAGTAAATCATTTTAGACATGAGGGGTTTGTACAGGTTTTGAGTGACTGAAGTACTGGTGCCAGTACTGACTTCACTGCGGTGGCAGTGAGGGCCTCTCTGTATCCACAGCATAGCAACTATGAGGGCAAGCTTTCCTGCTCTGCTCTGCCATGGTGCCTCTACTGAAACCCGGGGGGACCACTTCTGTGGCTGAGAAGGGCCCGTCAGTGCTAATGGTGGGTTTGTGACATGGATACAGATCCGGCAGAACTGGCCTGAGACCAGCTACAGAACAGCCATCAGATAGAAACCATTTTCATTCATTGCAGGCCCGGGAGGAATTTGAACCCATGAGCCACAGGTGCTGTGAAGCTACCCCAGGTTGAAAAGCTCCAGTGCCATTATCAATCGCTTGAGTCCCTCACTGCCCCACGCGAAGTGTTCTGTTGGCATTGGACCTAGAAGCGGGTTGGGTCTACGGCTTGTCTGATCCTTATCCCTTGATTTGGTGTTCTAGGTTCTCCTCGCTCCTCAGCCTCAATGAAGCAATGCTTCAGCTCCGGCTCTTAACGTGGGACGTGAAGGACACGCTGCTCCGGCTCCGGCACCCAGTAGGAGAGAATTACTCTGCTGCGGCCCGAGTTCACGAAGTTCATGTACAGCCTGAGGCTCTCAATAAGTCTTTCCATCAGGCATACAAAACCCAGAGCAAGCACTTCCCCAACTATGGCCTGAGCCAAGGGCTAAGCTCCAAGCAGTGGTGGGCTGATGTTGTCCAAACAGACTTTCAGACTCACTGGTGTCCATGAAGACAGGCTCCTCGCCACCATTGCAGAAAGTCTCTATCAGGAGTTCTGCAGTGCACAGAACTGGGAGTTGTTACCAGGCGCCAGGGAGACTCTGAGGCAGTGCCACCAGCTGGGCATCCGTATGGCCGTAATCTCCAACTTCGACCAGAGGCTCGAGAAGATTCTGTCTCACTGCAACCTCAGGCACCATTTTGAATTTGTCTTGACCTCGGAGGAGGCTGGCTTTGCCAAGCCAGACCAGCGGATCTTTCAGAAGGCGCTGCACATTTCTGGGGTAGCCCCACATCAGGCAGCTCATGTGGGGGACAATTATGTGAAGGATTATAGGGCAGCCAGAGATGTGGGCATGCACAGCTTCCTGCTCACGAGGGCTGGGCGTGCAAACAATTGGGAGCTACAGGTACCAAAGCAGCACGTCCTGCCTTCACTTACCCACTTGCTGTCTGTTATCGAGAAGGGTTAACGGTGAATCCCTCGCCTCTCCGCAGAGATCACCAGGGACAAAACAGATTCCTTACACCTCGTCGCTAAAAAGAGGGACCAGTTGTGCTGGGACCGGGGGAGGGGAAGGGAGAGGATTTGGTTCTCCACCAGGTGAATCAGGTTCTAAAGAGTATCTGCATGTCCTGCTATAGAGAGGGCGGGAAGCAAACCCCGCTGAACTCAGTGAGAAATACTTGCTAGCACTATCCACAACAGTACATTAGTCATCCAATACAATAAACTGCTACAGATACTCAGCACTTCTCTTCCCCTTTCTTCCATAGCTCTCAAAGCACCTAACAGAAGGGGGATTAGTGCCATTATCGTCATTTTACAGGGGGGACCGAGGGATGATGGCTAAGGTCACCCGGCACGGCAGAGTGGAGATCAGAACTTGCATCTCCAGAGTGTCCCCTAGTGTCCTGTCCATTGCAGCTCTGAGCCCAGGCGTTAACCCCTCCTAGTGCAAGGAAAGACAGCATTGCTTGCACACTTGAATGAACAGACAAAGCCAGAAGCAGAAATCCCTTCTCTGGGCCAGGTTCATTCCCCGCACTGGTACAACTGGCTGGCCTAGCTCCCTGCCAGCCTGGGCCTGCTGCACTGTGTGGTTCTGCCAGCGAGGAACACTGGTGCTGTGCTGACCTCAGTGGATCCCCTTGACCTGACAATAGCCTTTTCCCAGCCAGCACCCCCTCCCTTCTTGGGTTGCTCTGGCCTGTAAGGCAGCCACTGCCCACCCCTGCAGCCTCTCCCCACAGGCTCTCTGCATGGGACCTCTGCCAGGGTCTGCTCTTGTAGAAGCTGGCACATCACTAGGGGCCCTGATGCTGGCAGGGGATCCCATGGGATTTCCCCCCTTGCCATTATGCAAAGACTGGGCCTGGGGATGCTGACGACTCTGCTCCAAGTGAGGATTTTAGCAGAACCCACTGGTGGGCAGCATAGAGGGAGCATTGGAAACCAGAGCAGCCCAGCACTCGGGCACTCACTGCTTCCCAGAGGCTGATGGGAGCTTGGCTGGCAAGAGAAACTAGCCAATGGCCCTTTCGCTGCCCAAACCTCAGCAGGTGCCTTTTGCAGTGCTGCGCAGTGATCACTGCACTGCTCCCAGTGCCTGGCCTTGCAGCTGTGTGGCAGTGCCCCAGCAGAGTGCTGTGAAAAGCAGCCCAAGAGCTTGCCTAGACAGCTCGCGTGCAGCAGGCTGGGCTGTGAGTTTACCCCGCGCTCCCCTGCCACGTGCTAACTGGCCGTGTAGACCCTGTTGCTGATCCATTTGGAAACAGCAGCAGATCAAAGTGCACTTTAGTGCATGGCAAACGAAACGCACAGCCCAGCTTGCTGCAAACTAGACGTGGTCGTCTAGACAAGCCTGGAGCGTGCAACATTCAAGGGGTTAAAAATCAAGCTACTTATGTTTAAAAGGGGGAGAAACCAGCCCAGACCAGGGTCCCTACTTCTAACCTGGGTCACGCCCTCATTTCTAAAGCCCCTTGTCACTGAACCCACCCCAACAAATGAACCAGATTGTACGGAGTATTATCGACAGGCTTTTCTATGGCGCTCAGTTTGGTAGACTCTGCGCACCTCTTGCGCAGCCATGAATTTAGCCTCGCCACTCCCCTCTGAGGTCTGGCAGGGCAACCCCAGGTTACAGAGGGGAAACTGAGGCACAGAGCTATTACAGGACTCATCCCAGTGCATCGCACAGTCAGAATCACATGGCTTGGGCTAGGGCTGTAACCACTGCACGTTCCCATCAAGGCTGAGCAGATTGCACATGCCAGTGTTGAGTTTCTCCCTCCAGGCTAGTGGTGGAAATTGAGGCTTCCGTGTAGGGCACCTCTTTTCTGTCCAGTATAACTAGCCCCCCCAAGTAGCCAGATGTTCCTGGAGCCCCATGGCCACATTAGCTGCAGCAGCCGCACTGTATATAAGGCTTCGGCTCTCGGTAGAGATAACTGCTGCATGTAGTAGAAAGAGAGCCCAAAGCATGGGCCTGATACAAGGCCTAAGGCCTGAACTGAAGTGAGCAAAAGTTAGGCCCTGCTGCTATAAAGCAAAGTTAGCAAGCATCAGGCTATGAGCCAAAGGCAGGCCCCGTTACACAGCAGATGCCTGTTTGCAGGTTAACTGTCCAATACACAACCTTGGCAAAACACACCGGCACGCCCAAGAAGTGCTAGGCACAGGGTATCGATGGACGCACATTCCAGACGTAAACATAATGCTGGGAGATGAAACAGGAACACACCGACCCCAAGTGAAACAAGGACGGAAGGACAGGCTTAGGCTGACAGATGAAAATGTTTTGTTTGAACCAGCAGGTACAAGGTAAAGGGTGGTAACTAACCACGTCAGGGGCGCAATATTGTTTGTGTCGGTATATAAAAGAGGGGTTGCAGGAGCAGTGTTTTATCCGGCCTCGGGGGAGTAGAAGGTCCCACCACTCACTGAGCTGAGTCCATTACAATAGGCATACGTGTGTGTCCTCACAGACTCTACCAGCCACTAGGACCATGCTTCATTAACAATAAACCTGTCCGAGTGCCTTTGCCACCAAACCAAGTCTGTGGTGGTCTTGGGCACTTCAATCAAGGTCTGCTGTATCAGCTACCTGGTCAGATCTGGTGCAGAATGCTGAGAGAACACACACACAGCCAACAACTGACAACACTGTCAATGGAGCGTTGTCAAAGGGATTAGGCCAAAGTAAAATTTGATGCAGTTCAGGCAGCAGGACAAGATGGCAAATCCTGGAGTGTTAAAGAACTGCATAACTCTGTGACCAATAAACGGTTGCAGTTTTGCAGGCTAAGCTCAGGGTCATCAGCTCTCATGCTTCAAGGCACAAGATGATTTCTTGCAAGGGTTAGGAAGGATGGCTTATTCCCCTCTAAGTGCAGTGTTGTGCAGTTGGCCAGATGCATTATGGGCAGTTTCCACTTCTGAAGCTTCAGGGTTGGCTACAGGCAGAGGCTGACTATGCGACAAGACGGGCCAGTGAGCCGATCCTGTAGGGCAAGTCCAACCAGATTGCCTAGAAAGAATTCTAGGGGGCTACTGCTGTTAAGAAACAAGCTCAGAGCAGCCACCTGGGCTAAAGCCTGAGCCTATTTAGGTATGTGACACTGAGCCAGAAGGGGTTTAGCACTAGCACTAAACTAACCTTTGAGACATCGTAGCAGATAATGACTATGTGTGTTTACATATATATTGTTAGAGGTTGCCAATGTACCCAAATGGTTTCTGTCTGTCACTGTATTCTGTTAATTCATTGAGATGAACCGTGACTGTAGTAATGTCATTGTCTTTATTTCTCTGTGGTGTATAGAGTAAACTGCCTGTAAATGGTGGGTAGGGTTACCATATTTTGTGCCTCCCAAAGGAGGACACTCCACGGGGCCCCGGCCCCGCCCCAACTCCACCCCCTCCCCAAAGTCTCCGCCCCCTCCCCTGCTTCCTGCGAACATTTTAGTCGCGGGAAGCCTGAAGCAGGTAAGGGGGAGTGTGGGGGGAGGAGGCGCGGCCCAGGCTGTCCCCGGCCCTGGGGTGCCGG